TCTAATTTGTCATTGGCACCTTTAGGTGACCTGACTGCTGCCTACGTGAAACCCACTTCCTCTTGGTGTCCTGCAAGGATCCATTCTTGGTCCCCCTCTTGTTCAGCCTTTACATTAATGACCTTCCATCTATTTGTCCTGAGGTTGAAACCATAATGTACGCAGATGATACTGTTTTTTAGTTTAAGGATCAGGACTAGGCTAAGGTCTGGGGTCATTTTAAGGATCAGGACTAGGTTATTAGGACCAAGCTCATGTGTTGGGTCAGTTTAACGATTAGGTCTAGGCTAAGGTCTGGTCGGTTTAAGGATCAGGACTAGGCGATCAGGACTAGGCTCAGGTGTAGGGTCAGTTTAAGGATTAGGACTAGGATCAGGTCTGACCTCGGCCAACCCTCGAAGGTGGAGATGGTGAACAGGGCCAGCATGCCATTTAGGATGTTGTCAAAATTCAGCTCCGAGTTGGTCCAGCGTCTCTGATGGAGCTCCATCTCGTGCAGCGCCCCCTCCTGGTACCTAATGAACCAGCCTCTGAGACACAGGGGAGTCGGGGTGTGGGGGTACAGGTGAGTAACTATCAGACACGTGAAAAAACAACACAAGTGTTTGTTTACATGATAAACATACCTGCAGGTCTCCTCGGTCATCTGGTCTGGATCTGTGCATGAGTAAAACTTCCCCTTAGAGACAAAAAGCCATCAGTAAATATTTGAATGATTTTATTTTTCATTTCCCCTTTATTTATTCTGCTACTGAACCCAATGAGCTCAAGATCTCATAACAAACACAAGTCATAATAAACATTACATGTATAGGAAACAGTTTATAAATATTACGTTAAAATGATGACATCATTATGAAACACTATTATTATCATTAATAATAAACACAGATTTACTCTCTGACTCACTTTGAAGAGCTGAACTCCGATACAGGCGAACATGAAGTCGAGCAGCATCGTCACCAGAACAATGTTTCCGATCGTCTTCACAGCCACAAACACACACTGAACCACGTGCTGCAGAGACATGGTCATTATATATTACCACACACACACACACACACACACACACACACACACACGTGCAGATATTTGAGGACATTATTATCCATTCTCTGTCTCACCTTCAGTCCCTTGGCTCTGTTTATCGCCCTTAAAGGCCTCAACACCCTCAGCACCCTGAGGATCTTCACCACAGAGATGGCACTGGATCTGATCACATACACATGGACAGCAGAGAAAGTGTGTTGTTCTTTGTGTGTATGAGTTGTGTGTTATATGTGTAGTGTGACCTATGCCCATAGAGGCAATGTGTTGTGTTGTGTGTGGTGTGTTTTATGTAGTAAGGGTGAAAAAACCCTTCATGGTGGAAGCGGCTGCCAGAGGTTACTGCAAAAAGACATTGGTAATTACAGAAGCAAAACACCTAGATGTGGGAGGAATTCGGAGAGCTATGTAGAAGGACCAGGTTCTGTTATGGACCCCCCTTGAACATAGTGTTCTTTTTTCCAGTTTATGACTAGAAGGAACCAATAACAGAACACCACCTGGGTTCTTTTAGTTCTGTTGTGTGTATATTCATTGTGTGAATTAGTTGTGTAGTAGGTGTGTAGTAGTGTTGTGTAGTAGGTGTGTAGTAGTGTCGTGTAGTAGGTGTGTAGTAGTGTTGTGTACATTGACTCACTCCATGCCCATGGACAGCAGCGACACGCTGACCACCAGCAGGTCGAGGATGTTGAACGAGTTTCTGCAGAATGAACCGGTATGAAGGATGGCTCCGTACGTCGTCATCTGAAACACAGGTATGAAATAAACATGGGGGGGGGGCGTACACCTGGACAGGTCACCTGTTTATCACAGCCAATCAGACGTCTTCTCTCCATGATGGTAAATGTATGTCCACTGTGTGACGTTCTTAGCATTTGAACAGGTGAGGAGGAAACGATCAGGTGAAACAGGTCGATCAGAATCAGCATTCTTTTGGTTCTTTTTATTCCAACAACATTTGAATGGTCTGTGAAGTTTGTTCATATGTATAATAAATTATTTACACTTTAAGTTAAACATCAGTTTTTACCTTCAGAACGATCTCTGCTGTGAACACGGAGGTGAAGACGATGTCAGCGGATGCCAACACCTGGAAAAATCGATAATTATTCTGTCTGTACAAACACGTAGATAAGAAGTAATAACAAGTGTTTGACTTTATTACACATTTCTATCAGAAAGACTTTTCAGTGCTTCATATGATCTGCACAGGTGTGTGGGGGGGGTCACCTGGTTCCTGAAGGACATGGGTCGATGGGATCCTCAGCAGCCAGAGAACGGAGGAGAGCAGGATGAAGAGGAGGATGTTTGGTGAAGGTGGTCGCATTGATGATACGATGGCACAGCTTTCTGAACCTGAAGGGTTAAAGACGTCTTCATCACTGACGCTTAAAGAGAAATAAGAACTCATGTCGAGCCAATCACGTTTGCACACTGGCTTTGAAACTTTCAT